CGGTTGTGACGGGGCGACTGAAACCTCATGGGAAGGGGGGCGTTCCCAGCTCGTCCTTCACACCCTACCGAGGTCACGAGTTGCCCCCACGAGCGACTCTCCTGCACGGCCATGGCTCCAGAGCCACAGAAACCCATCTCATAATTATCTGACTCTTGGCAGAAAAACTTCCAGGCTTATTAAGTAAAATACCAGATATCCAAAATTGCGTGGCCGGTTCTTGTAACCAGCTGTAGAAAACAAATAATTTCACAATTCCTTTTTAGCAGATCTGATTTTGGCGTGTAAACTCTAAATAATAATGGTGCATCTTTTGTCGAAACAATGAATCTAATCAAAGTAGAGTATTAACTAGAATTCATCTGCCTCACAGGCATTGGGAGGGTTGGGAGAGGGGGTTATTGGGGTTCTTGGTGGTGAAAAATAAGTACTGGTGAAGGGAAATGGGTTTGATGATTGCATGACCGAGACTTAAACTTGAAAGCTTTGTAACCTTTCCCACAGTGATTCAATAAATAAAAATAAATTAAAAAAAAATAAAAAGTTGGCTTGCAGGATTGTGGAGGCTGACTGTAGGATAACACTGTTCTGTCCTTTCTGCATTGCCTCAGGTAGTTTAGGTTTATTGGGTTGCTCCCATCACAGTGTTTCCCATTCCTCTGTGTTTATTTGTAACTTTATTTGTGCTCTGTTGACTTGTAAATATTGTTTTTCTCTTCTCCCTAAGTCCTTTGCATAGTTTATTCAGAGCAATGTCCTTTTTGTATGGACACAAGAAGACATGCTTTTGTAATGTGACTCTCAGTGATATTTCCCTCCTGGGCATCTGTTCTCTCACCTAAACCTCAGCTGCCCTTTCTTCCTACCACCTCCAAAAGCAGGGTCCCGAGGAGGGACTGGATGGAACCAGGGCAAGCGGTAAGCTATGTGCTACCCTGGCATCGAGATGGGCCTGGCCAAAGCGCCATGATGCTTAACTAAAGTTAAGAACTTGGTCATGGACAAATGCTGTCATGATCTAAAAAGTAATAACTAGATTTGGACCCTAGGGTTAGGAATGATTAATCTGGCCTGAGCGCTGTAGTCTGAGTCTGTGGCAAGGTGTCCCCAGGAGAGCTGCCCTACAAGTCTCAATGTTATCTCTTACTGTGTCCATGCAAAAATAGCTAGTATTGATATGTTGATAGTTATTGGACTGAGGAAAAGAGAAAAAGACCTTAGGAGGTATTTTGCCCTTGGACAGTCAGGAAGGGCTTTGGAATGCCTTTAGGTGGTGTTCCCTTTGGAAAGGCTTTCTTATGTTGATTTGGCTACCTAAGGGGTGAGGGTGGGAGGGCAGTGTCAGTTTGGAGAGATAAGGGAGTGGGAAGTGGAGGGGGGAGGAAGACATGAGTGAATGAAGAGAAGATTGGAATAAACTGCAACTAAGACCAACCAGCCTGGCTCTCGCTTCTTCCTTCATCTGCCCTTGGCCAACAGCTGTCCCAATCCAGGCCACACACAGCGACTCAAGAGCACCAAACTTGGGCTGTGAGACAGAGCCGTCCAGATGAGCCCGTGAACACACATCCTTCAGCGTGTGTTTAGTTTTTTACAGCTGACGTGCCAGGAGTCAGAAGAGACGCTGACGAGGTAAGATCCAGTTCAAAGGCGGTGGTTTTGAGCCCCAAGGGAACATGTGCTTTCCAGTGCAAAGCAGGGAAAAAATATGTCGATGTTGCAAGTCCTGTAGGAGGTGGAGTTCCCTCTTACTCAGCCCTTTTGCTCTGTTCAGTCTTTAGATAATTGCAGGAGGCAATTTTTTTTTCTTTTTGGGTCATACCCGGTGATGCACAAGAGTTACTCCTGGCTTTGCATTCAGGAATTACTCCTGGCAATGCTCGGGGGACCATATGGGATGCTGAGAATGAAACCCAGGTCGGCTGCGTGCAAGGCAAATGCTCTACTATGGCTCCAACACCAATGTTCTTGTTCCTAGATAACTCAAACTAGAGATCTGGAAATAACCTCTATGGCCAATGACAGATGAGTGGATTATGAAGATATGGTGCCTATACTCCATGGAATACTATGCAGCTACAAGGAATGATGTAATAATGCAGTTTGCGGCAACCTGGTTGGAACTGGAAGCTATCATGTTGAGTGAAGAAAGCCAGGAGAAAGACAAACATAGGATGATCTCACTTATCTGCAGTATATAATATCTCTGGATGAGGAAATGTAATGTAGTCAAGGGGGGGGGGATGCCTAGATCACCTTAACCCCATACTTTAGGGAGGAAGGACAGAGAAAAGAAATCCAGGGTCAAGGAAGAAGATGAGAAGGGGCAGTCACGCAACAGGGCTCAGGGCTGTGGGTACATCGGTGATATGGAGAGTTGTACAACTGCCCAAAGCACAGATCCAAAACGCTGAAAACGTCAGATCTAAGTGCAACCATGAAACTCTGTAAGGGAACTGTCAAGGTGAATGGTAGTGGAGGAGGTGGCTGGAGGCGAGTTGACACTAACAGTGGGATTGGTGTTGAAATACTAAATGCCTACTACTCAACTATCAATAACTCGGTAAATCACGTTCTCTTTTTTTCTTTTGTGGCAGGGGAGGTGATTTTTGTGCCATACCCAGGGGTGCTCGGGTGTTCCTCCTGGCTCTGCATTCAGGAATGACTCCTGTTGGTGCTCAGGGGACCCTATGTGATGCCAGGGATCAAACCCAGGTTGGCTGCATGCAAGGCAAATGCCTTACCCACTGAGTTATTGCTCTGGTCCCCTGTAAACCATGGTTCTTTAAATTAAAAAAATATTTTTTAAAGAATAAAGCAAGGGGTCAGAGAGATAGTACAATGAATAGTGAGATTTTCTTGCACGTGGCTGATCTGGGTTCAATCCCTTGCATCCCATCTGGTCCCCCAAGCAAAAGCAGGAGTAATTCCTGAGAACAGAACCAGGAGTAATCCCTGAGCATCACTGGTGTGGCCCAAAAAGGAAAAAAAAAAGAAGAAGAAGAAGAATGAGCAAGCTAGGCGCATGGCCAACAGTACCCTAGGGAAGGGCTGACACTTTTGCAGGATGAGATTGTTGGATGCCACTTATAGGACAGTCTGTGCAAGTGGACGGGCAGTTCAGACCTGTGTTGTTCAACTGACCATTTAAGGGATGACCTGCCGCAAAGCTGGAGAGAACCTCCACTTCTGGGGTAGGGGACTGCTCTGATGGCCAGAGATCGGGGGCAGCAGAAACCATCCTGTGCTGTGTATTTCCTCCCCCATCCTCCCCTCCCTCTCCCCCACCAAACCTTCATCCTCTCTCCTATATCCCCTGGTGCTGGGAAATTCAGGAGGGTCCTTGCACAGTCCTGGAACTGTCTCCAGCCTCTCCCTTGCCTCTTCTCCCTTCTCTCCCTTCCCTCTGTTCTCTTCTTCCCCAACACCTCAAAATTCTTATAGAATCGCCCGAGACCAACTTCTCCTTAGCCCTTCTGCCTTAACGGCGTCTCTTCCCACCTGGCGAGTACAGCGGACCTCACAAATGTGACCCACTCGAGCACGATGTTATTCAAGGCCCACGGTGTCACTGGAGTGACGCAGAATTCCCCGTGTGTCAAGTTACTTTCACGCACACGTTCATTAATGCCCTTGGCGTGAAGCATTTTCCAGCAAGCTGCAGAGTTACCAGCTCATTAAAGGGAAAAGAGGCAGGCAGGCATCTCGCTTAAAAAATAGTCACGAGGGGCCGGAGTGAGAGCACAGCAGGGAGGGCGTTTGCCTGGCACGCAGTCGACTGTGATTCGATTCCCAGCATCCCGTATGGTCCCCTGAGCACCACCAGGAGTAATTTCTGAGTGCGGAGCCAGAAGGAACCCCTGTGTATCGCCGGGTGTGACCCAAAAAGGAAAAAAAATTATGAGAATACTAAGGAAGGCAAGGCCCTAGCACAGAGGTGGGTTTGCTGGTGGGAGCCACTTCCCCAGACTATCTGTGAGAGGCACCCTTGCTGGGCATTCTCTGGCGATGACTCAGCAGTCCTGACCCCCTTCTCCTCTCTCGAAGCTCAAGGTAAGGAGGAAGGAGGGGAACTATAACTTAACTCTTTTGTAGGAAGGGCCGCTTATGGTCACAGAAAGCCTTTCTTTTCCTCTCTGGCCCGAGAGCTGCCAAGGAAATGTTGATGATCTATTCTGCAGATGAGACAACTGAGGCTGGATCAGGTCACAACACTAAGAAGTCAAGCAGGGGTTTCCCGTTCAGGGAGATGGGGCTGCGGATAAGGAGCTGCCTCGCACGCGGCTGACCCGTGTTCAGTCCCCAGCACTGCATATACCCCCCATGCTCGGCCAGGAGTGAGCCCTGAGCGCACAGTGAGGGGTGAGCCCTTAACACAGTCAGGTGTGACCCCCAAACCAAAGATCAAAACGAAACCGATCAAACCCAACCCAACTCTCCTTTCCTCCGCACCTTCCCTCCCTCCTTCCTTCCGCACCCTTTCCTCTCTTCCTCCATCCGCTCCTCCCTCCCTCTCCTCCTTCATTTCCCAACTCCAGTACCCTGGAGGGAGAAACTGCTTCCTAAGCTGACTACTGAGCTCACGGTTCTTCACTTCTAGTTCCCTTCTCTTGAGAGCCAGACCAGTGTAGGGCCCATCTGCACGAAAGGCTCTCAGCTAGCTGGGTTCCAGAAGGGCCCACACACCACCTGCAGGGCTGGAAGGCAGAGGAGAATGGACAGAAAGGCGCCAGACCCGAGTGGGCAGCGACGTCTTCTCTGACTGGCATCGAGTCCACACACGGGGCTGGTCTGTCCCATAGGGCAACACGGCCTGCGCGTGAGACTGGCCTGGCCTCAGGCCGGGTGTCTTCCTGAAGATGGGGAGTCCAGCCCCTCCTTCCCCCTCAGGACTGGAGCCCAGAGGTGATTTCAAGGTCGGGAAGGCCTTCAGCTTGAGAGGAAGGGCGGGGGGGGGGGGGGGGGGCGGCCGTCCACCCTCTCCGCACGCCCGCACTCACATGAACCTCAGCTCCGACTCCCGGCGCACCAGCACCTCCCGCAGCCGCTGGATTTTGGCCATCTCCAGCTCGATCTCCTCAGGCATCATGGTCGTCTCGGCCATGGACACGATGTCCAGCTGACCTGTGAGGGGACAGGAAGCAGGGCTCAGAGCCTGGCACTTTAGCAAGCCTCGTCCTCCCGGTCCTCGGAGAACAGCCGTGGCCCCACGGCCACACTGAGCTGGAAGGAGGCACTGCGTGGAAGCGTGCCTGAGTGTGAGTGTGTGTTCGTGTGCACGAGTGTGTGGGTGCACGTGAGAGTGTGTGTATGTGAGTTTGTGTGATTGTCGGAACATGTACATAGCATGTGGGAGTGTGCCAGAGTGTGTGTGAGTGTGTGCATGTGTCGGAGTGCAAGAGTGCACATGTAAGACCGTGTGTGCACATGAGAGTGCGAGTGTGCGTGAGCATGCTTGTGCATGTGTGGTATGTGTGACCGGAAGCATGTGTGTGGTATGAGTTGCAAGCGTGTGCGTGTATGTGCGTGAGAGTGTAAGAGTATGTTCATGGGAGAGTGGGTGTGCACATGAAAGTGAGTGTGCAAGTGTGTGCAGCATGTGTGCATCTGAGCGTGAGTATGCGAGCGTGTGTGCCAGTGTGCATGAGCGTGTGTGCGTGTGAGAGTGTTTGAGTGTGGGAGTGTGTGAATGTGGAAACATATATGGCATGTGGGGGAGTCCAAGAGCGTGTGCATGTGGGAGTGCACATGCATGTGAGTGTGTGAGTGTGTCAGTGTGAGAGTGTATAGATAAGTACGTGAGCATGTGGTGCGTGTGTACATGTGTGCAAGAGTGTGGGTGTGTGGTATGACCCTGGAGCCTGGAAGCACGCCTTTCGTGGAGACCCTGTCGGGGGCCGAGAGGAGTCTCTGGGCCTGGAGCTCGCGCCAGCCCATTCGGTTCTAGACGTCCTGGCCTGGTCCTGCTGCCCCTGTGTCTGAGTCCCTGCCCCCCTCCATCTGCTCCAGCCTGCAAGTCCGAGGCTTGCTTCAGGCAGAAGGGAGTTTTCTAATGATGCTTTTTGCTTCTGGTTTCTGTTTTTGTTTCGCAGGGGTCACTCAGCTCTGTGCCCAGGGCACCAGCCCTCAGCCGCTGAGCCCTCCCTCGAGTCCCTGCTGCTTCCACAGTAACACAGGATCTTACAGGAGCACTGTCCTCCCGTTGTTCATCGATTTGCTCAAGCGGGCACCAGTAACGTCTCCATTGTGAGATTTTTTTGTTACTGTTTCTGGCATACAGAATATGCCACCAGGAGCTTGCCTGGTGTGCTGTCTGCCGTGCGGGTGCGATACTCTCGGTCGCTTACTGGGCTCTCCGAGAGGGGCGGAGGAATCGAACCCAGGCTGGCCTTGTGCAAGGCAAACACCCTACCCACTGTGCTATCATTCCAGCCCTATAGGAATACTAAATGATATAATAAATACAAAGTCATGAAATTTAGTGTAGGCCTTCAGCTAACACTTGTAGGCAAAATAAATAAGTAGGAAGGTAAAAGCATGCATTGGACCACTGCCCACTCTTTACCTTTTGATGGAGATTGTTTTCATCTTATATATAGATTAAAACAATATATACCTATCACCACCTTCAATCACAAATATAATCACGTATATTAGCATACAGAGAACACTAGACACATATACCTGTATGTGTGTGAATTGACTTGGGCTGACACAATAAAACACTTGTGGCTGAGTCTAACCCACACAGATTTTTTTTTCCTGGCTCTGCAGGCTGGTGGTGCCGTGTCAAGGGGCTTGCGTCAGGTTCACATGTGTTCTCATCTGGTTTTCCTGTGCTCAGCCTCTGCGCTGTTTCAGCCCTCCTCCTCCTGACATGGATCCTACCAGGCCTGAGCTCTAACCTTTGACCCCATTCAATTCCTTCCTTGGATCTTTTTCTCCCAAACCACCATTCCAAGTTTTGGGCTTCAAAGATTTGGATTTCAACATATGAATGGGTATGGATCTGTGTGTCTTTACATCCTCACACACATAACCGGGACATTTCTTTTTCTTTTCTTTCTTTCTTTGAATTTATTTATTTATTTTGGCTTTTTGGGTCACACCCTGCGATCACAGGGGTTACTCCTGGCTCTGCACTCAGGAATTACTCCTGGCGGTGCTTGGGGGACCCTATAGGATGCTGGGGATCAAACCCAGGTTGGCAGGTGCAAAGCAAACGCCCTTCCTGCTGTCCTATCGCTCCTGCCCCACCCGGAGAAATGTCACCGTACATTCTTCAGTGGATTTATATGATCATTTCTATAATCGTGTAGATCATGGGCAATAACTGGGGTTATAAACGTAACACATTATTAAATGTTCATGCAATATAATTAAATGTAATCAATTAAATGTCAGCCATTCAAAATATTTTCGTATGGGCTTGCCCTTCAAGAACATATCTGCCCTTGAACACACATGCCACTTGTCTTTGTGTCTCTTTGCCTGCCTACTCTTCAAGCTCCTGTCCTCTCTTGAACCCAACTTCCTTTCCTTCTTCCTCGCCGGGCACCATTCTAAGTATCACTGTATCACTGTCTTCCTGTAGTTTATCGATTGCCTCGAGCAGACCCCAGTAATGTCTCCTTTGTCCTAGCCCTGAGATTTTTAAAAAGTGCCACATTTGAGGCTCTTTCATGGTCAGGAGAATGAGACCCATAATTGTTACTGGTTTTTTGGCATATTGAATACGCCACGGGGACTTTGCCAGACTCTGCCGTGCGGGCAGGATACTTTTGGTAGCCTGCCAGGTTCTCCAGATTAAGAACTAGATGATACGGTGTCGCTGCTTTCGGGAGTAGGGTTTTATAGTCTCTGGGTCTTGGTCATTGATGGGATTACACAGCGCCGGGGACAGTTGGTGGGTGTAACGCCTACCTACTGGAAGATGGGGGATCTGGGTGGAGGAGGCCCCAGTCCCAGTCGGAGCAGGCTTGGAGGTGTACGCCCTGGATCCCGCACACCTGGGTTCCTCTGCCGGTTCCTTCATGCGTGAGGCTCATCCGAACGTGTGGAGAGTGGTCGTAAGCATGGCTGTGGCTGGAACCGGAGGTCTTCAGCTGCCGGGGCTCAGCTCGGGGTGGGGAGTGTAATCCCATCAACGGCCAAGACCCAGAGACTATAAAACCCTGCTCCCAGAAGAGAATAGCACAGTCTCCTGCCTCTGCGCCTGGCTGTCCTCACCGGGGCCTCTTGGAGGAGGGTGGGTTCCCGAGCAGAGCCCCAGCAGCTGAAGACCTCCGGTTCCAGCCACAGCCATGCTTAAGACCACTCTCCACACGTTTGGACGAGCCTCAATCATGAAAGAACTGGCCGAGGAACCCAGGTGTGCGGGACCCGGGGAGTAGATTTCCAAGCCTGCTTGGATTGGGACTGGGGTCTCCTCAACCCAGACCCCCCCATCTTCCACTATGTAGGCGTTACACCCACCAACTGCCCCTGGCGCTGTGTAATCCCACCATTCTAAGTAAGTTTCATTTAATAAAAACTATCTTGTGGAGAATGGGCACGGGGGTACACGATCATTGCATGATTAAAACATAATCATAGAAGTCTGTAAGTCTGTAACTGTATCTCATGGTGATTCATTTAAAAAAAACTATCTTGTGGGGTCAGCGTGAGTGTCCAGTGGTTAGAGCTCTTGCCTTGCATGCGTTGACCTGAGTCCATCCCTGGGGCCCCATTTGGTTCCCTGAGCTCTGCCAGGCATGATCCCTGAGCACAGAGCTAAAAATAAGCCCTGCTGAAAAATAAGTGCTGGTGAAGGGAAATGTGTTTGATGATTGCATGACCGAGACTTAAACCTGAAAGCTTTGTAACCTTTCCCACCGTGATTCAATAAATAAAAAGAAAAAAATATTAAAAAAAAAGAAATAAGCCCTGAGCACCTCCAAGTGTGACAACCCCCCCCCCAAAAAAAACACCCCACCAACATGAAAATCCTAGAAAATGATCTTGCATCACTAAATACCAACATTCCTGTACGCCCGCGCGTTTGTGTCCACCCACCTTGATCCTACCCCCATTGCATAACGGGGGGGCTTGTGGTGTCCAGTGAGGCCCCAGCATGTGGGCCAGGCCCCCCCATCTGAAACACACTGTGAATGCTTTTGTGCCCCCGCGCCGTGCTTTTGTGCTCCCTGGCAGTCGTGGGGAAGGTTGTATCGTTTTCTATTTGTGTGCATCCTGTGAATCATCTCCCCAGCCCCCAGACAAACACACCGAAGTTGTTTTCCATTTCCCACTAACAGCCGCCCTGCAGGGTGTGTTCTCCAAGCCGAGTCCCCGTGTGCCTCTGAGGGGCCGCTCCAGGCCACACAGGCCGCGGTTCCCGCACGGAGGCTGAGTTTGAAGGAGGAGACGTGGGAGAGGGATGTTCTGTCCACACAGGACAGCGAGGTCCCCTGCATCTGCTGACACCCGCCACACCCCACCCTAACTACCCCCACCATCCCTCCCCTCCGTAATTCCATCCGAGCCAGTGGCTTGGAGGTAAAAAAGAACTTTCTGACTGTGTCTCTCCTGTGACCTGAAGCCCTGGCCTGGCCCAGCTGCCAAGGAGGTGTTTTGTTTTGTTTTTTAATTGAATCAGCGTTAATTCTACCTACAAAGATTTCATGTTTGAGTTTCAGTCCTATAATGATTGAACACCCATCCCTCCCCCAGGGCACATTCTCCACCACAAATCTCCCCAGTATCCCTCCCTTCCCACCTTCCCCCAACTCTCTCTCTCTGGAAATTTTTTTCTTTTTGGTCACACCTGGAATGCACAGGGGTCACTCCTGGCTCTGCACTCAGGAATTACTCCTGGCAGTGTTCACAGGACCCTATGGGATGCCGGGAATCAGACCCGGGTCGGTGGCGTGCAAGGCAAATGCCCTACCCGCTGTGCTGTCTCTCCAACCCCTATGAAAATTAATTTTTAGACTAATATCCAAGGCCAGGGAAACACTGGTCAGTGGGTGGAAGCTTGCTGCAAGTGTGTGGGCTGGAAGACAGCTAGGATAGAGAAGGGACCACTGTGACAACTATGGAAACGATCACCCTGGACAATACCTTTGAGTATCTGTATTGTGAAC